TTATATTCTCAATTTATTTGCAGCAAGAAAAGGAAGTTATGAACATGAAGCGTGCTCTCAAGCTACTTTCCTATAAGACCAATATTTGTGGTTTGAAAGATACTCTATGTATAATGTTGTTTTTATTAATATTTATTGCCTTTATTACTTAGCATAAAAATGATGCTGTTAAACCATAGTTGTAATTTATTGTATTTGTATATATTGAATATATATACCTAGTTTTGTCTTATGATATGAATTTACTGAGATATTTATAATTAATTTATAAACCATAGTTTCTATTGATGATGTTGACGTATATAAAATACCATTGATCCACAGTTGTGCCATATGTTATTATTCGAGTTGTTCACTATAATTTACGCTATTTTACCTGTTCTTTGGTTACTTGGTGAAAACTTCTCTAACTGCTCAGTGTTGCGAGAATTCTGCATGGTTTGATCATTTACTGGCTTGCTATTGTAACTGACTATTCAGGCATATTCACTGCATTTCTCACTGAATACCCATTCTTAATTGTAGTGAGAAATGTATTACAAACAACATTCTAAAAAGAAATTACATGCTCACCAATGATCAGTAAAAAAAATATGTGGTTCTCTCACTCTCAACAAGATTTTTGCAGCCATTTGTGTATTAATTTCAAGAGAGACGATTTTTTTTGGCAAACTTTGCACAATTTTGTAGCAGTGCAAATTTCACTGGTGTCATTAACACATAAAATCAGAGAGGCATCCATGAAAGTTTTCTTTGCTTATGTTCTTAATTCTTTCAACCGCAAAAGTCGAAACAGCAGCAAAAAAACGTAACGTAATCCTTCTTATCTATGACTTTGCTCACATTCCTAATTATACTAGTCATGAACATAATAACAAATATTTTCACTTAATTTCAATATTTTGAGCATATTAGCATTCATGAATTTGACAGTGAAACAACAGGTTTTATTGTTGGTTTAGTTCTGCGGATTTTACTTACAAGCGAAAATAAAACCTAGTGAATAATTAATGTGTTTACAGTACAACTAAGACTGCTTTTGGCAGTTTGTCTAGCAAATGTCAATTCCTTTAGAACATGCATATTGTTTTTCACAAGATGTATAATATTCTGGGCTTATATTCAATAATTTATTTGCTTTGCTTTCACAGACCCAGGTAGTGATGCTAAATTAACAATTCATGCGTTTATTTAAATAATGCAACAACTTTTGTGGGTAGACAACTTTTTGGCATGGGAGTTGTTTTGTTTTTTGATACTTGTATTTGTGTCACCTGCTTTTTTGAAAGGAACTTGAATTTTCTACTATTTATATAAAAAACTGTTTCAAAATTAGTTTCAGTTCAGAATTTAAAAGAAAAAACTAATTGTATCTGACATTTTGTGTTGCACTTGTTAGCAATAAATATGTTTCTATAAAACGACAATTGTACCTCAGTTTTTTCAGAGCCCACACTTGGTACAGTCTGAGCATAACTAAATCATCTTGTGTAAATTGTGCAGAACAATAAATATGTCTCTTATTAATAACTTATCGGTGGCTAAATACTACAAAGAATAAGCTGAAATTATCGATGAAATTGATACTCACTCTAAAAATAGATCTTATATGAAATGGGGAAGCCAGGTTAATGCAAGCTTGAAAATTAAGTTCCGATTTGACTGCATTGTATGTATTCAGTGCTTTTGTGACACATATGGATAAAATGAAATGAGTTTGATAATTTGGCTGTGGCAAGTCAAATTGGTATAAAATACCCTGGTTGTAATAGTACCAATTTTGGTCATGTGAGCAATTGTTTTGGCAGTCGTTTTATTAGTCCCCGTTCGGACGCAGTCCGAAAACGGGGACTTATGTTTTGACCTCCGTCTGTGCGTGCGTGCGTCTGTGCGTGCGTGCGTCCGGACCTGTATCTTAGAAATGCCTGGACCAATCACAATCAAACTTCACACATACATCATACATGATATCATACATATGCACGTCAATTTGTTTCATGATCTGATTCAAGATGGCCTAATGGCGGCCATTTTTGTGCTAAAAATCATCAAAATTGAGCATTTCCCCGTTGTTTACAGATGGATTTTGTTCAAACCTTGTATATACGTTGGACATTATAGGACCTTGATGCACATCATTTTGTTTTACGATCTGATTCAAGATGGCCGAATGGCGGCCATTTTTGTGCTAAAAAATCATAAAAAGCAACCATTTTTCGCTGTTTACAGATTGATTTTGCTCAAACTTGGTATATACATTAGACATTATGGGACCTTGATGCAAATAATTTTGTTTTTCAGATAACATTCAAAATGGCCGACTGGCGGCCATTTTGTATTATTCAATGTGGTTCTCGTGCCATATCTCCAATATATTGTTTTGACTGATTATGTTCGAATTTTAAATATTCATTATACATCATGTCATAGATCCTATTCAAAATGGCCGAATGGTTGTCATTTTTGTACTAAAAAATCATCAAATATCAAGCATTTCTGGCATTTATGGATGGGTTTCGTTCAAACTTGGTACATACATTAGACATTACAGGTTCCTGATGCACGTCATTTATTTT